ATAGTACGTATATATAATAAAGTTTTTTTTTTAATTATTTGAGAAAAAATAATATAAAACAATGACAAGAGACGAAAGAGGAAATAGTAATGGAAAGTGTGAAGTCATTGATGTGTGTGTGTAAATGATAAGCCAGAAGAAGATAAAAATTAATTAAATAATATTTAACGCTTATTATATTTCTCTAAATAACCAGCTTTCTTGCGCCACCAAAAGACGATTAAAAAAAATTTTTTTTGCCAATTTTTATTTTATTTTTTCTAAAAATATAAAACATTAATAAAGTAACTTATCACTATTACGCCATAAACTCTTCATATATCGTGACGTTTTAGCTCAAAATTTTTTACTGTTTAAACAAATTTGTTGTTACTAGTGTTTAAAAATTTTCTCAGTTAAAAAAATAATTGCATTAATTTTCTGGTGAACACGTCAGTGACTTTACTCGCATCTAAAACTATCTGAAAATAGAATTAACTATCATTCAAAAATTATCTAAAATGTGGCATGTCATTGTTTCATAATAAGTGCATCGTTTTTATTGAAAAATTTAGTAAAATTTCGAACGGATAAATTTGGATTTTTTAAGCACAATTATGATAAGTAATAGCAATATTCACAATTAATTTTGTGCTTCCATTTATTAAAAAATAAATACTTAATTTTTCACCTTCATCTACGTTATTTTAGACTCAGAGAATTAACGTAATCTATAAACAAAAATTTAAAGACGAAATAAAAAAAATGTGCAAAACTTGAGGTTTTTTTTGTTGTTGGGTGTTTTAAAGGACAAGGATAACATGATTATTCTATATTACAAAACTGTATAGTTTCAGGAGTATAAAAAATAGACGTATAATGATATTTTGATCTTATACAAGGTATATTTTCAAAAAATAAATATAACTGCTTGATACACATTTTAAAACAAATATGCACAATACAAACAATTTTTCATTCAAAAATTGCATACACATTTCCCCAAAAATATGTATAAAAAAAATAAGATGATACAAAGTAAATATTATCACAATAGCCATAGGTCATTAGAAGATTTCAATGCACACTGTGCATTTTAGAATTGAAGACTACAACATATTGTATTTTTGGATATTTAGAATTTTCTTACTTAAAATAGTTTTTTTTAAAATTAATAATTTTTTTTTGTTCTCGCTCATCATTGTTAAAAAATGTCATAGTGTAATTTTTATAATAAAGACATAGTTTGATATGCAGATAAGATCACAGGTAATGATTATTAATCTGTGTGATGAATTGAAATTTTTTTTCCAATAGGCATGTTTACCACTAACATTAAAATTGAAAATTGTGATTTTAAATGAAAATTGAAAATTACACGTTAACATGTTAATTGAACATTTTACGTGAGCATTGTGCTTAAAAATCACACGTCAAATAATTATCTTAACAATTATCTCGGACTGAGTTATCTCTGGCTTTTAAATTAAGGGGCTCATGATTATAGAATTCATTTGAAAACATATGATTACTGAAGATTATATAACATGATAATTAAATGTCAGACATTAACGTGAAAATAAAAAACTTTCCATTTTCATGATAAATGAAAATTATATAACATGATAACTGAAAGTAAGATGTTAACGTGATAATTAAAACTTTCCGTTAAAATAATATTTGAAAGCTGAACGTTTACATGATAATTTAAAATTATACGTTTACTTGAAAATTATGCGTTTACTTGATCATTGAAAATTGTACGTTAACATCAAAATTAAAAATTGCACATTAATATGATTTTTAAAAATTATCAGCTGGCATGTTTACTAGTATATTTCCATTAACGTGTAGATAATTACATTTTTCTTATTCATCTAAAATATTTCATTTATCTAAAATATTTCCTTTAAAAATATTTCCTGGCATAAAATATTTAAAATACATTTCATTTTTATTATAAAATATTTTCTGACAATGCTTTGAAATATTTCATAATAAGTTTATAGACAATATAGGTAGGGTACAATTTTTCAAAAGTAAATAAATCTCATTTTTAGCTTAACGTTGTCACGACGCTCAACATATTTTATAAAAATATTAATAACTTATAAAAACTACAAAATATATATTTAATGCTTTTTTTCATTAAATTTTTTATACTCTCTCTGAGAAAAAGAAATAAATAAGCATAAAATATAAAATAAGCATTGTTATTTTGAAGTTACATAACTTCTTAAAAGATTTAAAAATTCATTTCCTGATCGACCCTTAACCTTGAAAAATAAAAAAATCCTAAAAAAAGGAAGAAAAAAAAAAGAAAATTATTCATCAAAGGAGTAAGTGAGTAAACATCCTTTTAGGGGTTAAAAAAAAGAGATTTTTTTTTAAGAAAAACTTTCTTCAGTAACCAAATAACTCCTCTCTTCATGAAATCGCGACAGGTCACTGAATTTCAATGACAGACGAGTGGGCAATCTCCGACCAGAAAATCGTGGCACTCAATTTTCTTACCACTTGTTTTGGGGTTCCACACTATTTCCGGTCTAGCGATTGTAGTCTTAACTTCCGCCGGATAGTTTCCTATTCTTTCATTTAGACTTACTTTTTCCCCTTTGCCGCGAATTTTATTTTCAAAAAAGAAAGAAAAAAAATCTTTTTACAAAAAGAATCTTTTTTTTTCAACTTTCAAGCTTGTCAGTAAGGTGATCTTATAACTTAAAAGGGGGATTCCTTATGACTGTTAAAAAAAAGGATTGACGATCAGGAAAAAAATCTTAAAATAGAAATTATTTGACCTGAATCCAACAGTTTAAAATATATTTTTCTTTTCAAAAGACCAATTAAAATAATGTTATGAAATCGGCTTTGCAATAAGTTGAGCACAGTATTTAAACACTAGCTCAGTATTTTACAATAATCAAATGGTAATTGAAAATTATACCTACATGATGCTTGAGAATTTTTAGTTAAAATGATAATTGAAAAGTATTAGTTAACAGTTTAATTGAAAATTATACCTTATCTTGCAAATTAAAATAAAGCAATAAAAATTTATTTTATGTTTACTCGAAAAACACCGAGCTCTGTGTTTAACTCTATTAACATGATAAGTTAAAACTTTCAGTTAACATGATAATTGAAAAGTATTAGTTAACAGGTTAATTGAAAATTATACCTTATCTTGCAAATTAAAATAATGCAATAAAAATAAATTTTATGTTTACTTTAAGAACACCGATCTCTGTGTTTAACTCTATTAACATGATAAGTTAAAACTTTCAGCTAACATGATAATTGAAAAGTATTAGTTAATAGGACAACTGAAAATATTACCTTGACATTTTGCAATGAGTTTTACAATTACAATTACAAATGGTTTTGCAAATAGTTAAAAAAACACTAGCTTAGTATTTTGCCTTATTCATATGATAAATGAAAATTAAATTTTATCATATTAATTGAAAACTTTTCCCATGATAACTAAAAATTAATTAAAAATTTAATTAAAAATTACACTTTGACTTTCAAATTAAAATAGTGCAATAAAATTAGTTTTGCGACTAACTGAAAAGCACTCAGCTGCGTGTTTTACTCTATTAACATAATAATCAAAAACTTTGAGTTAACATGATAATTGAAAACCATTAGTTAACAGGATAATTTTAAATTGTACCTTGATATTTTGAAAATTATGCATTGAAAATTTAGTATAAACTAACTGATCTACATTCAATTACATTATTGTAATCATCTGTCAACATAATTAACAATTATGAATTAACTTGATGGTTGAATTTAATCTCTTAACATGATAACTAGCATTGCTAATATGGCAAGTATGGATCTTAAAAAAAAATCATTCGACCTTGATCGATAAAATTTAAAACCCAAAGCCCTAAATTATTCCGCATTTTTTTTAAGAGACAAAAAAAAAAAAAAAATATACAAATATGAATATTTAAATTATTTAATTAAATTGGTTCAGAGGTAATTCGAGAAACACTGAGCTAAGTATTTTAAATACTTATTTCAACTAAATAATAGAGAATAGTAATTTTTTCGTTCTTTTACATATATTAGCCTTGTTAGATGTAATAATGTATTTGACAACCTAATATTGCATTATTGTGAGGAAGTTTTTCGTTTTGAAATATTCTTGATTTATGTAACAAAAATTGTAAAAGAATTAAAAATAATATTATAAAAATCTATTTTTTAAAACTAAATTTAAAAAACTGAAACATAATTGCATAAAAAAGCACGCCATTTTTCTCAACTAGAGTATTTTATGGTATGAGTATGTGCGAAAACAATAGTTATTAAATAACGTTTACTAACCTGAAGTTGTTAGTAGCAAACGTTATAAAGTACTAAGAAGATTTGCATTTAAGGAAAGTAAAAAAAAAAAGAAAGAAATCTTTGGAATTTGATTACGGAAAAAATTTATCTATTTTTTCCGCCAATGTATCTATGCACCATATTTTGCTTTGCAATATTTTGCAATAAATAAATATATAATAAATAATCATTTTAAAGTACTTTAAAAAAAACACATATGTACAAAATACATATTTACACTGATAACAGGAAAGAATTTATTAAAAGTGCTTGAAGAAATATAGTAATAAGACACATTTTTCCTACGGTGAGATTTTTATGTTAAACTGTTCATTAGTATCGTTACTGAGTAGGTGCTTTATTGGTTTTCAAACTTTCAGGTAGATAATAATAAATACAGAGAAACATTTTATTGCTTTCATAAAAATCGTGTTTTTACCAAAAATGTTTTCCTGAACAAAATGAAATTGTGGCTTATTAATATTGCCTCAAGCGCTTATATTTTTAAAAAAAAAAACAGCGTTTATATTTTTTTAAAAAAACATTTCATATATTTTTGACTATTTTTTAAATGATGTATTCAAATTAAATGATGTAGGACAATAAGTAATATCTTTGTTTAGTAAGAAAGTTATTATTTCATATTTGTTAACAAGATATAAAAATACATTGTTCTAGCTAATAAAAATCTTTGGTCCATTATTAATTACGCAAAAATATAAACATTTCTAGATAACAATTTCGGAATTTTATAAAATATTTCCCATTGTTATAGGGATTCGTACTTGATAACATTATTTCTAGACTGCCTAATTTGTTTACACAAAATACTATTATTTAATAGCCATAAACAAAATACAAAAATATATTGTTCCCGTTCTTAAAAAAAATCTTTGGTTCATTCCTAATTACGAATTAATGTAAATATCTCTTCAATATTTAGAAAACAATTTACTAATTTTAGAAAACACTTCCCTTGGTCATAGGGATTCGTATTTGATGTAACTATTGCTGCACTCTGAGCCAGAGCATGACGAATCTGAATAGTCTGTTGAAGTGTACGAGCCGGACATCTGGAAGGACGATGAACTGCCCGGATGAGGTGATTCAGCCGAAGACCAACCTGGACTTGGAGGAATTATGGGAGCGGAACAATAACCATAGAGAGGTGGTGCTTGGACTTGGCTTTCCGAACCATCCATTAGACTCGAGCCATCATTATATCCTTCACACTGTTTACCGCTTTTCGAGTCTAACATTTTCAGAGTTTCTGATAAAGCCCAAATGTAATTATGAGCGAATCTTAATGTCTCTATCTTAGTTAATTTTGTTTCATCGGAAAATGTTGGAAGCACACAACGCAATTTGTCCAGGGCTGAGTTCAGGTTGTGCATGCGGTTGCGTTCGCGGTCATTAGCTTTCAGCCTTCTCGTTTTTTTAATTTTGATAACAGCGACGGGGTTGCGAGCTCGATTCCGGGATTTGGTGTATCTTTTCTTTTTCGATTTGTCTCTTTTGCCCTCGTGGTTGTTATTGTCCTCCATGTCATTCAAGATGGCAACTTCTTCTTTATTAGCCATAATATTGGTTCCGTGTGGCATAGTTGGGCTTAATTCCGTACTGTTCGGTGCCGTTTGTGGACTAGATTGCTGTTTTTTACTCCAAGGGGATTCAGATTTAGGCACAGGAGGGGACAGAAGTGAAGAGTTGTTGTATCCCGGTCCAGATAGAAAGGGTCGTCTGTACTCAGAAGAAATGGGACTTTGCATGGGGGTTTGGAAACTTTTTAGAACACCTTCAGTTGGAGCAGAATTGGGAGAACGCAGTGTCTCAGCGGTCATATTCTGTTACTTTCACAACCACCTGAATATAAAATGAGAAAAAAATATGAGTAAATATTATAATTAAGATATTCAGCACATTTATTATGAAATATAATTTCGTATAATGAAGATAAAACTGTCAGCCTTGGAATTTTAAGTGGTGCTATTAAATAAACGTTTATTCTGCATTAACACTTTCGGGCCGACTGTCACAAATATGTGCCAGCATAAAACTGTATCAATCAGGGTAAAAAGATAAAACTGGTAATCAAAGTAATTCTTTAACAGTTTATTTGAGGGGCGGAGTTATAATTGTTTGATTTATTTAATTCACCATTACTTTGTTCAAAGTAAAACTATTTAGTTATACTTTGAATTAACATTGATTATATATATGATTAAACTAACAATTAAGTAAAAGCAAAGTAAGTCTGTCAAATTAGCAACGACTACATTTAAGTTACCGTTTTCTATTTAATTACAACTTGATTCTGATTTTGTACGAATGTTTTTCTGAATCAACCGTCCCCAAGGGGTTAAGAAGAAAAATCTGTGATTGTTATTGAGAAGAGCTAGGCAACGGGAACAAGAGCGAAAGATTTTTGAGTATTAGTTTATGCCATTTATATTACCGGCTCTCGTAAAACTGTTCTACCGTAAAGTGCTCGTCTTCGCACGCTCTATTGTGCAACTCTAGTGCGAGGCTCATATATTGCTGTTTATATATTTGCATAAATTATTTAAATGTGGTGATGATCAAATTCATTACAAATCAAACATGTTCTCTTATACATTAACTAGTATGTAGAGCTTGAAGCAGGGATGCCAACTACTCCACTTTCTGAATAAGTTAAAAAATATTAAAATTAAATTGTAAAACTTGTGGAATAAGAATAATTAACCCTATTCTTTAACAAAGTAACTTAGAAATAACTACAATAAGGTTTAATTTCATTTGATACTTTGACATTTTAATTGATTCTTTGAACACGTAGTGGTGAAAAACTACTCAAAATCTCAATGGTATTTTCATCCAGTTCAATGTCATTTCAGTTATTGCTTAAACTAATAATAATGGTGAAGGAAATTCTTAAGGTAAATTGCAATATTAACGCATAACATTAGCTAGCAGTGGGAAACATACTTTGAAATACAATAAGAAATATTCGCTCTGTGATAGCATATTTCCTCACAATTATTATTAATTAATTAAACACAAAGCTGAAAATCAGCTTTATATTTTTGAGGAAAAGTATTAAATATTCAAATAACAATTACTAATTTTTGCAAATCTGCTGTTTGAAAATCATAGTATGAAATGTCTTAACCAAATATTTAAAAATCTAGTAAAATTGTGTCCAGTACGAATTACAATCTCAAGATCGAAGAATTTGCATTAATGTGTTTTTGAATTGTTGTGAAGAATACGAACGTGTTAAAACACTAGTAGTTTCTTAACCATGACACCATTTACGTACCCCATAGCAGTAAAATAACATACAAAAAAAAAAACATTCTTTTTAAAATAAACTTTTTAACCCCAGTTCCCAGATCCTTGAACTCTCACGCAGGAGGTATATTATTCTTACAGAACACAATTGTGCGGTCCTGGTCTTAACGATAAGACTAAATTTGAAAAGAAACACTTCAAATAGAAAATCAGCCGCTCTTGCTGTGAATTATACGGAGATTTACAATAAAAGCTTTCGGTTCGGACACTCGCTAAACCCAAGGGATCGTCCAAACGGTGAATGGAATTCGTCTGCCAAGAAATCGAATGTTTCTTTAAGATTCATTCGCGTAAGTTTCTTACAATGCTGAATGGAATAAAGCAAAGTTGGCTTTTTGAGCACCCAACCGAGACTGGAGTTGAGATACCAAAGGGTGCTTTTATCGTTTGCGGTTTGTTATGTTTGTCGCCCTGTGGTGAGAATAGCAAAAATAAGCAGCTAAATCCTTTGAAATACGGTTTTATTTTGAGATTTCTCGCACGGAAGAAGTGTTTATTTTTATGTTTGTGTTCGATTTGTACCTATGCATAAATATTTATCGCTTGTATGTTTTTCTAACTCTTTTCTCTATAATAGGATGAAGTTCAAAGGGTAATGCATTTTGTTTTGTGATTTGAATGATTTACGTGACTATGTATAATGTAAATACGTTCACTCTATAAAAATTGTTTGCTTTTAATTTTTGGAGACTTAAAATAATGAGTATAGTCATATAAAAAGCGATATACTACATAGCAATTGCGTTTTAATCTATTTTTGAGAAAATGTATAGAGTCGTTTGCGATTTGTTATGGTAAGAATAGAAAAAATACGCATCTAAACTCTTTCAAATACGGTTTAATATTTGGAAGTTTTTATTTTTATGCTTGTGCACTATATGTATCTATGTAAAATATGGTTTGCATTTTTTTTAAACGTTTTTCTATTTATTTTTAAACTGCCCTGAAATAAATCTTTAATAATATAAAGTTTAAAGGGTAATACTTTTAGTTTCATGATTTAAATAATTTACTTGTATGTTTCAAATGTATGAACTTACACTCTACAAAGTATTTGTTTTTAATTTTGAAACTCATACCACATATAGACTACGACGAACATAAATACGTTTAAATCTATTTTTGAGAAAATGGAGAATCGAATTATTTGCGATTTGTTATGTTCATCATCCAGTGGGGAGAATATCAAAAATAAACTGCCGAATTTCTTAAAAATCTTTTTGTCTTTAAACAGAAGAATTTTTTTTCTTTTTGCAAAATTTTCTATGCATTTTGCAATTATCTATGCAAAATGGTTATAGATTGTTCAAAATTGTTCACACTCCCGTTTCCTCTGATTTATCTTTAAACTATTAGAAATAAATCTATAAGAAAGACGAAGTTTAACAAGAGATTGCGTCTAGTTTCATATTTTGCATTATTCAGAGATGCCAACTTGCTCCGGACAGCAAATAAATATTTTAAAGTGGTAGTTAATCAATTGTCATTCTTGGTTTAATAACATTCAATTTAGTAGATTTTTATCCACCACTATTTCTAAATAATTCGTAGGCTTATATAATTCACCACTTTATTGCACATATGTCATGTTATACCTCTTAAAAAGCAAGCAAAAATAGTCAAATATTTTCAAAATTTGGTTTGTAGTTATTTACCGTTTTTTTAATTATTTTGGCGTGTCCGGAGCAGTTGGCATTCCTGATTATTTAACACGTTCACGCCGGGTGTTGCGCCTGAAAGCGGGGCGGAAAAGAGAAAATACTAGTAGAAGCACTATTTCAATATTAGATAATAATCGGGAGGAGTTAATCTATTATCAACAATAAAAATTCACTGTAAGGAAATTTATCACGGCGAAGAAGCAATTCAATATAAAAATTGCATCCGTTAAAAACAATTGGTAGTTATGGATTTATTTTATTCCCGGAAAAAAACTAAAAAATGAAATTTATTTGTTACCAGTTTTTACTCCTGTGCGCCGCCCGCTGAGACAATCTAGCGTGACCCTCCGGTGGGTCACCCCGGCGTGAACGTGTTAAATGCGTATGGAAATTTCTAGAATTTACGCTTCTCATTTTTGAAAAATTAAAAGAATCAATGAAGCCTGTAGACAGCAGTCAAGTCGGCTGTTTTGTTTCAACCCGTTTTTTTAAAAAAACAAAGAACTTATTCATTAAATCAATTGCTAAAATTTATCAACAATTCTGACCAATAGTACTAATTTTAAATGTGCTGCAATTCTTAATTTTCGGGCTTTTATTGGGGGGGCATAAAACTCATTGAAATAATAAGATAAGTTCAACATGCATCTTAAACTTGTTTTGAACAATAATTAATTTAATGAATTGAAAATTTATTGTGTTCTAATATCAAAATAATTGCAATGTTCAAAGCACCATCTAAACTATACTTAAAATATGAAAAAAGAAAATATTATTTGATTGTACACGTTGGAGAAATGTTAAGCATAATAAAATTATTTCAAAAAAGTCACAGCTTTAACATTCGAGATTTTATGTACTTGACAACTTTTCTGCATTTTCAGAAAGGTATTATTTTCATATTTAATTTGGTAGCAGAATTTTTGTTTTCATGCCCGATTCCAGTTTCAATAAATTTGATTTATTATAATTTTAACTACCACTACATTTAACTAGTTTTAAATATTTATAATGAAGATCGGTCAGTTATTTTAGCACGTACTATCAAAATACTATTAACTTTATCATATAACTCTACTCAAGGGGATCTCCCCAATCCAAAGATGATTTTCCCTTCAAAACTAAAGATTTACTCCTTAAGGACTTGACTTGTTGTTACAACATACTACAACTTCAAAGATATATAGGACCTCCCAGAATACAACAAAACAGAATCGATGAATCGGTTAGTGGCGCTTCGCGCCAAACGCCGAGATAACCCCAATATCCAGCATCCAG